TGGTTTTGGTTCTTTAAAATTAACAAGAAACACTGTGTGTATTTATTTAGTTTCCAATTTTTTTACGAATTTCTTTCATAAGTGTACACCTTTATGAAATTTGGTCAAATGATCAAGAAGTTTAACCAGAAGTGGTGGCTTATGTTGTTTAAAAATAACGAGGAGATTCTGGGTTCAAAAAGCTATGTGCATTTTTTCACTTTCCAGTTTTTATGAATTTCTTTTCAAAGTTTGATCAGAAGCAATGATTTTGTTGTTTAAAATTAACAAAATATCTTGAGTTCAAAATGCTATGTGCTTTTTATTTTTATTTTTCCATTTTTTATGAATTTATGTTTGATTTTAATTTCTTTTAATTACTAGCTAGTTGTTGACTGTCACATCCCAACCCGGGGCGGATCACTTCCCGGGCCCGCTTCCGCTACCGTAGCACGATATTGTCCGCTTTGGGCTTACCATTCCCTCACGGTTTTGTTTTTGGGAACTCACGAGCAACTTCCCAGAGGGTCACCCATCCTGGGAGTGCTCCAGCCCTCTTCTCGCTTAACTTCGGAGTTCCTACGGAACCCGAAGCCAGTGAGCTCCCAAAAGGCCTCGTGCTAGGTAGGATGGGAATATACATTTAAGGATCAGTCCCCTGGGCGATGTGGGATGTCACAATCCACCCCCCTTAGGGGCCCGACGTCCTCGTCGGCACACTCGCGACCAGGGTTAGGCTCTGATACCAATGTCACATCCCGGCCCGGGGCGGATCACTTCCCGGGCCCGCTCCACCACCGTAGCACGATATTGTCCGCTTTGGGCTTACCATTCCCTCACGGTTTTGTTTTTGGGAGCTCACTGGCTTCGGGTTCCGTAGGAACTCCAAAGTTAAGCGAGTAGAGGGCTAGAGCACTCCCAGGATGGGTGACCCTCTGGGAAGTTGCTCGTGAGTTCCCAAAAACAAAACCGTGAGGGAATGGTAAGCCCAAAGCGGACAATATCGTGCTACGGTGGTGGAGCGGGCCCGGGAAGTGATCCGCCCCGGGCCGGGATGTGACATTGACACACCACGACCTGGAAGATTCACCTGGACTTCGAATCGAGTTGTGCTGGCTGACACTGGAAGGTGATGAAGCCATAGAGTGTAATGATGCGAAATATGTGAATAAATTTAAACCTAGAAGTGCCTAAATGGAAGAGTGCGCATGTGAGCAGGAATGAACCCATTTCACACGTGATGTCAGAGCATAAGTAAAAGAGGAATTATACCGTTAGGAGTATTCCCATAACAATGTTTTGCCAAAAATCCTCGTCGACACAAAAGCTCTACCACTAAAACCTGGAGGGGCGAAAAACAAGGATGAGTGGGCCTAAAAGAAATGAATCTTTGTAAAACCTTTTTGAAAATGTTATAACCCATCGCCGTAAAACAAGTATAGTTTCCACATATAATATACTACATATGGTATGAAATGTTTATTGTAAACAGTAATATCACCAGAATGCAATAATTCACGATATTCAACATATAAACTACATGACAACCGGTAATCACAATAACTCGACATGTGCTGACACATGGGTTCATGCAGAGGTATTCTGACATGAACATGACTAGGTGTAATAATGATTTATACTCTAGTACTACAATCACTTGAAGACTAGCGCTACGCGTATCATATACGAGTCCTAATTGGCTGTAGCAATCTAGGATAGGACTGACATCTACAATGGATCCAAAGTGAGCGTATGATGCAATGTGAACATACGCATGAAAGACTAGCCCTAGCCTTGGGTGAGTACTAACACCGGTGCAGCACACGATAAGCAGATAACGTAAATATAGTCATGCCACAGTGATTCGATAATTCTAGTCAACATAGTATTCATGGCTGCAAATATAATTAAGGCATCCCATAATAGTACACATACCTGTGCATCCCGCAGGATTCTGAATAATTTCATAATTCTCAACATTACGACTTTTCTTATAAATGTTAATTTAATTATGGCAATCACATAGAAAATTCATTATTAAATATATATGTTAAAACTAAACCAATATATATATGCTATATAAAAGAAAAGACCTACTCACAAATCATGTCGCTAGGTCGAACCCATTTCGTGGCCATTGAAGATCCTTGTGATGTGTTTCACCTAGAAACAAAACCATTTACGTAAATATATAACGTACTAATTTATATACACTTTTTGTACAAAGTACGAGTAATAAAGAAACTATTTTAAAACGATTGTTCAGAAAATGAATGGTAGAATCGGGTTCAGCACGTCGAGAAACCTAAAGATGGACCTTGGGTTCCTCTACAGGCCGCCGCTCATGTCAATCACCCTCACATGCCCACGCGCGCCCACCCATCTGCAAGTACAAACGTACTAGCATTTTTCGCGAAGCACAGGTTCGGCCTGATTTCTGGGCCAATTTCCAAAGCTAATATCTAGCTCAATTCACCACCAAAATCGATGATACAAAAACCAATTTGAAGTTAGAAATGTAGGGAATTGGTCTATACTTAGTGGAAGCCTAATCGTGATTGGTGTTGGTCAGCAAACGCCCAAAGAGCTCAGTTCTCAAATGGAGGTTGGTAATTGGTACTATAGTGGTGGTTTAGTGGTTAGAGGGATCGCCATAATGATGAGGTGGTGTGGCAGTGTTACTGTTATGCCCTCTCGGTGCAAGTGGATGAAGATAGAAGACTTTGCATGTAGGGAATAGGGTGAGGTGGTGATCTAGATTTGTTACGCTTGTTGGAGTGGCCACCATCATAAGTGGCTGGTGGTGGTGGGTTGGTGCTCGCCGTTCTAGCAAGGGTGGTATGGTGTAGCGTGGGCTCTCTACACTTGCACAAAGAGAGAGATGAGAAAGAGTTGAGAGAAAGAGAGAGTATAAAGGTAGAGAGAGAGTGAGTGACAAATGGGAGGTGGGCCGAGAAGGTTGGAGACACGGAAGAGAGGGAGACACACAACATATCTCTCAACATGAATTTACCAAATTGCACTTCAAGTTCGAAAGTCAGTAAAATCTTCACCGTAACTCCAAATTTGATTCCACTTGTGCCCACGTGTTTGTCTCGGCGAGTACTACACAAATACATTAAAAGAATGGGTCGTACATCCCTTTAAACAATGATCAACAAAAGTCAACAATCCTCGCCTCAAGGGGCATTTTTGTTAATTCGCATTTTAAAAATTTATAAAATCATAAAATTAGGGAGGGGCTATTACTTTGTTATGTTGATTGCAGTTTTTAGACATTCATTCCAATTCAAGTCTAACCTTTAACAAAGAGTAATGTGTAGACCAAATTTTTAGAACAAATTTTCAAACCATATGAAGTGTCACCAATAGGAAATAAGCATGTTAATCAACACTTAAATTAATAATTCAATTATCAACAATCACATCATAAGATTTACACAATTTGATTTAAAATTTTGGTATCCCTAGCATTAGCCTTCAAGAAATTAATGTATGTATGTCTTGACCAATACTATGTTTAATTTAGTGCTCATTCATTACTTATACATATCAATTAAAGACTTGAAAATATAATTATCTTTTTAGTCTCATATTGACAAGGTTAGTTAATAAGAAAAAATATCTCACGAGTTATATAAAAATACTCTTTTAAAGTTCAGATAGAAGGGAAACAAAACTCATCATCCATCTACTTGTAAGCCCGAGTTTTTTTTTGTTCACTTCTCTCAATACAAAATAAATTAGTTTTTACATAAATTATTGAGTTTGAAATGTTTTTCTAAGTATTATTTTATCAAAGTCTTGCATGTGAAAACAAATAATTTTTCTTATATGAGATTAAAGCACATTTTTAAGGTCACCCAGAGCCTCAAAAATGTCAAGACCGGTCGTGTGCAGATGTTTTTAAAATTTCTTAATGTTCTTGAACTACGAGAGACAAACTTAAACTCAATGGTTACATACAAAATATACACAAGTCTAAATAAATTACGGAGACAAGCATTTTACTAGAAATTGCTTATTTACACTAGCTAACAAAATGTTATCAAGGACGTGATATTACTATATGTATTTTTTTTGTTCGACTCGCCTAAATGGATACAAATACTAGAAACATGTTTTACTAGTTATATTATTACATTTGATAACATAAACATTATAATAGTCGAACAAAAAAAAATGTTTGTACTTGTATTTTTATTCGCGATATTTAATGTTTCTAGTGTTTGTATCTATTATAATATATGTTTCTAGTGTTTGTATCTATTATAATATATGTTTCTAGTATTGTATCCATTTACATAATATTAGTATGGTATTTATACTCTTTTCTACTATTTGTATCCATTTACATAATGGTATTTATATTTTTTTTTCTACTATTTGTATCTATCATGTAAAGCTATCGTAGCATATGTGTTGTGATTGTGGTATATTAAATAGACGTCTATCTCACTCGAATGTTTCATGGACTTGAGTTTACGATCATACTGCTGAATTTTCATACATTTTCTCCTTTCGATCAATGTGGTTTTTGCAACAACACTACATTGTTCCAGGTAATAGAGTTTTCATGGATAAGGTACGGCAATGGAGCAGTTGCATCCTTGGGGCATCAGCAGTGGCGGTGCTTGTTTTACTCTTGTTCCTTCCTAATAATGGTGATTTTGAGAAGACAATTTCTGCAAGGAGATCTCTAAGGAGCAGGCATGGTAGTACTAATTATTGAGGGTACAAATGTAAATGTAGATATAAAAGATCCTACTTAGATATTGGATAGTCTGTTAGATATTAGTTGAGTTTGTTTTGTTTGTTATAAAGCATCTCTCAGCAACTCTCATTGGTTGCAACACTTGTATATATACTGGATGTAATATTATTTGAGAATATGAAGAGTTTATTTCTCAATATGGTATCAATCGCCCTCTGTCTCACGACCTGATCCAAACACGCTTCTTCGCTGGCAACCTTTCTTCTTCCCCAATCTTGATCTCTGCAACCCTAAATCTTGAGTATTCATGGCGGCTCCTGTCTCTTCTCCTTCTGCTTCTACTGATCATGATCGTCAGTCTCCTCCGACGACCACTTCTGTCACCGCCGTTTCTCCGGTGACCTCCTCAATCACGATTCAGAATATTGGATCCATGGTACCGATCAAGCTCACCACTTCCAATTATCTCACCTGGAGTGCTCTGTTCGCTCCGATCTTTCGTCGCTACAATCTCACTGGCATCGTCGACGGCTCCACCCCTCCACCACCTCAGATGCTCCTGGACGATTCTGGAAATCGTACTTCTCTCATCAATCCTGAGTATGTTGCCTGGTATGAAAACGATCAAAACATTCTCATCTGGCTCAATTCTACATTGTCTGAAACCCTAATTCCGTATACTGTTGGAGTTAATTCCTCTCGGGAACTTTGGGCAAAATTGGAATCACGATTGGCTGCTGCTTCTCAATCTCATATTCATGATCTCCGATCTCGTCTGCGTACAATTTCCAAGGGTGATTCCACAGCTGCTCAATTTCTTCAACAGATCGAGGAAATCGCAGATGCACTTGCAAGTGCAGGAGCTCCAGTAGCTGATTCTGAGCTTATATCTGTCACACTTCATGGCCTGCCATCAGACTATGACTCTTTTGTTGATGCTGTTCAATTTCGCATCGGATCTACGACACTTGATGAGTTACATGGCCTTCTTCTGAGCTGACGTTTTTTACTAATAATTGGAGGAGACGTTTTTGAAATTCAGATGCTACAACGGACTCATAACTTGGTGGAGCTAAATAATGGCCTTGTTCGACTCACCTTTTCTTTTCCCGAAGGAGACGTGGTTGGAATCCAGTACAAGGGAATTGACAACTTGCTTGAAGTCAAAACTAACCCACAAGGAGGTTACTGGGATCTTAACGCCGGGAACTATGGTTATTACACTCTATATGGAACAAAATTTAAAATTGTTACAGTGACGCCAGACCAAATTGAGATATCTTTTACTAAAACTTATGAGTTTCCCTCGGTAACGTGACACTTCCCTTGAATGTTGACAAGAGGTACAAAATGCAGCGTGGTCTCACTGGTTTTTACACGTACGCCATATTTGAGCGTCTAGAAGGGTGGCCACAATTGCATATCGATCAGATTAGAATTGCTTTCAAGCTTATACAAGATAAATTTAAGTTCATGGTTGTATCAGACAACATACAAAGGTTCATGCCAACAGCCGAAGACCGTGGCAAAGGTCGGCAACTTGCCTATAAAGAAGCTGCTCTTTTAACGAATCCAAGCAATCCTGAGTTTAGAGGAGAGGTGGATGACAAGTACCAGTACTCGAGGGAGAACAAAGACACTAAGCTTCATGGTTGGATTTGCATTGACCAAGCTGTAGGGTTTTGGATCATCACACCCAGTGATGAGTTTCTCACAGCGGGGCCATTCAAGCAGGTACTTACATCTCATGTCGGCCCAACTGCCCTCTCTGAGTTTCACAGTGGTCACTACGTTGGGAGCGAAGTTGGGATGAGCTATGCAGAAGGGGAGCCATGGAAGAAGGTTTTTGGGCCAGTCTATGTGTATCTTGACTCAGACGTTCCAGGCTCGAATCAGTCGAATATGTCCCTCTCGCTGTGGAATAATGCTAAAGAGCAGATGCTTCAAGAAGTAAACAGTTGGCCATACAATTTCATTGAGTCCGAAGACTTTCCTAGCTCCGATGGACGTGGATGAGTTGCCGGTCAACTACTAATACGGGATTCATACATTAACGAGGGCGTATTTAGGGCTAGTTCAGCTTATGTGGGATTGGCTGCACCTGGAGACGTGGGATCATGGCAAAGGGAATGCAAGGGCTGTCAGTTCTGGACTCGAGCCGACAATCAAGGTAATTTCCTCATTAAAAATGTTCGACCCGGGAACTGTAGTCTGTATGCAACTGTTCCTGGAATTATTGGGGACTACAAATATGAGGCTATCGTTACAATAGAACCAACAAGTGAAATAAATTTGGGTAGTCTCACCTTCGAACCTCCGAGAATTGGTCCAACCCTGTGGGAAATTGGCATCCCTGATCAATCTGCAGCCGAGTTCTACATACCGGATCCATATCCATCACTGGCAAACCATTTGTTCAACAACAGTCACACAAACAAGTTTAGACAATACAGCTTGTGGGATCGGTATGCTGATTTATACCCTGACCATGATCTCATCTACAACGTTGGTAGTGACAATCACTGTGATGATTGGTTTTTCGCTCATGTGACGAGGAATATCGGAAATGATATGTATAAGGGAACCACATGGCAAATTTTATTTCAACTTCAAAATGTAACGAACACCGGAGATTATATACTCCAGTTGGCGTTGGCCTCAGCAAACGGTGCAGAACTTCAGGTTCGATTGAACGACCAGAGCCCCAATGGCGGACATCATTTTACAACTAGGCTAATGGGGAAGGACAATGCTATTGCAAGGCATGGAATTCATGGTTTGCACCGGCTGTTCAGTGTTGTTGTGCCTAGCTTTCGACTACGAGAAGGAAACAACACTATCTATCTTACTCAGGCCAGAAGTGCAAATGGCCCTTTCTCAGGTATCATGTACGACTATATCCGACTAGAAGGACCTCCTCCGAAGTGATCGCATAGGTTGGAAAAGTTAGCTAATTAAGTTTTGCAATTTGATTTACTTTTTAAGTTAGGGTATTTTTAGTATTTGATATTTATAGTGTTTTGCAGTATGTTGCGATTTTATCCCTAATTTCAACTAGAGTATAACATTGTTTTCTGATTTATTGTTTCTTTTATGTTTATTTCAGAGTTAGAACTATATAATTCAAGTTTCGACAAGTTAACAACGAAAGCATTTGTATGAAATATATGGTATAAACACTACTTCATGGAACATGGATTACTTCATGTCCGCCTACATGACCAGATTTGAAAATATTCTTGGATCAAACACTACTGAAACAATGACATCCAACTGGGCAGCACGCTAGAAAATCTCCTTTCTCTTCCGGGTGGAAATGTTTTGTATTATCTCCTAGGTCCGAAATGTTATTTGCTGATGCGATACATAAACAAATCCTACAAATTTAATTAAATTAAAAATAAATTAGAAATAAGTTTAATAAGTTTAATAATTAATTAAAAAGTTTGTCAACCCATAAACTCAATCCGGCAATTACCTCCAATCCCAACCCACTCTTCTACCTCCAACTATGATAGCCTTTGCCATCTTTTTTTCTGGAAAAAAAAAAAAAAAAAATCTCAAGACACTCATCTTTTCACCCTTCGACACCCTTCACCGAAATTGACCAGGATCGAGACCACCTTTGGCGACGACTTCTGTGACATTACCGTTGACATTTGGTTGATCAACATCCTTACAACCTTAATCTTGGAGAGCTTGTTGAGCACTCCCTCGGTGATCATAGTGATGTGAAGAATGACGAGCTCTGCCTTGAGATAATCTCATTGTGTATAACAAAATTTTTGATGGAATTGTGATAAATGGATCATATTGATTTGTGACACCTATTTTCAAGGACTACATTGATTGATTTTCAATTTAAGAGACAATCTTTATAGTGTGGGTCAATTTTAGGGACCATTTATGATAAAAGCCTGTAAATCTTGCGGGATCCATTTATGTGCCACATTAACATATACCAAAATTTTTTTGACAAAATTATGATAGAAGGTTCACATTGATTTGCGACATTTATTTTCAGAGACTGCATTGATTGACTTTCAATTTCAGAGACCATCTTGATGGTGTTGGGTCAATTCAAAGGATCATTTGTGATAAAAACCCTTCTTTTTATGACCTCAAAAAGAATTCCATTTACAAGTTTTAGATATAAAGGAAAACTCAGGTTTTTTTTTTAATTTTTTTAATTTTTTTTAACAAATAATATTATTTACACTAAGAGAGATGATGTGTGTTTAGCCTCATAATAAATTAGCAATTACCCAACTATTTTCATACAACTTTCAGCTTTCTTTGAATTTGAAAATTAAAATCGGTTACCAAAGAAGTTTAAAATTGGCCATTTTAATAATTTATGGAGGTGGCCTTCTGTACAGGTGTCAAACTAGAGAGTTTGTGTGAGGGAGAGGCCCCGGTTGGCGGGTAGGTGGGTGGGGGTTGGGTGGGGGGTTTGTTGAGACCAGTACGTGTGTCAGGTTAGCATGTCAAATTAGGGGGGAAAGAATTTAGGGATCCCTTCCTTGTAATTTACTAAATTAGATAATATTTACAGTTGAAAATTGATTCAACGGTTACAAATATGAGCCCACTTTAAAAATTATAATAATTTCAACTGTTAAATCAAATTTCAACAGTATAGAATCCCTGATTTGAAAGATTAGAAGGAAGAGATCCGAAGATATCCCTTTCCAAATTAGGGTATGGTGTACTGATTTTTATTTCTGTTTAGTCAGCATGGACACGTGGTCCGGTTGAAAAGCCTCAACAATTCTCCATTTTATGCTACAAATTATGATAATAAACCCAATTTAAATGAAGAAATTTAAAGGAAGAAGCGGAAAGAGAAATAATAAATGCACATTATTTATTGTATTTTACACACTTATATTTAATTATATGAAAAAATAGATGTGTAAGAAGTTAAAATAATGGGTGTGAAAATTAGCTCCAGAACTGAAAAGCACGTCACAGGCCCTGTCGCACTGGCACATATAAAAATACAAAATATGCCAGGTGTATTATCTCAACGCTGGGAATAAAACTACAAATCCGGTTCATTTCTGGATTCTCTTTACGAGAATTTCGAATATTTGTAAATTGTGTCTGTTTATTGTACATCGTTCGATTAGAAATTATTTAAAATATTTTTATTTAAAATTAAAAAAATAGTAATTGACAAAAATTGATTGCACGATTTACAATGAATAGATACGATTCACAAATTTCCAAGATTCCCATAAAAGGAATCTGAATATCCTGTTGGTAAAACTGCAACCGTTGATACCGTTGAGTGTTTGACATTTTATCCTCCAACAAAAGTGCTAGAGAAATAGGCCGGATCATTTTCCTAGGAATTTTAGGAATTTCGTAATCTTGTTCGTTCATTGTATATCGTGTGATCAGTTTTCGTTATGTACTATTTATATTTGAATTTTAAATTTTAAATAATTTCTGACCGTATGATGTATGATAAACGAATAAGATTGAGGGATCCCTAACTTCACTAGGAAAAGGATCCAGGATCCTTTTACGAGAAATAGTGGTGTTTGACTTCTGAGGGTGGCAGATAGATCACGTTCACAGAATCTTAAGCAAATATCAGGTAACTAATAAATCATACTGCTTTCACAAAGAATTCCACAATTTTCTGGCTCACAATTTGATCAAGCTATCATCTTCTTGCTTTTCTATGTTCTGCAACAAAAGTCTGCTTTCTATATTCTGTTCTGTTCCATCATATATATTATTGCCCCACTTAAAAGTTTTTATTCTCTTCAGCAGTGGAATCGAATTTATCAATTACCCTCTACTTCTGTGGTTGAATTTTATATCTTCTTTAATATATATTTCTGCAAAAAAACTTGTTTCCATTTCAAGCCCTCTATTTCTGAGTTCAGCTCATGGTTGATCTTCTGCTTATATGTTCGAATAAGTTATTGAATTTTTTTTTTCAGAGGGATCTGCTGCTTGTATATGTTCTTGATTTAGATTTGATTTGGATGCAGTCCAAGGGGACTCCGCAGAAATTTCGATAAAGTACTTTCGCTAATGAAATTTGTCTTCAAAGTTCATCTCCCTTCAATTTTGAATCCCGGACCTGCAGTCAAGCCCTCATACTTTTGAGTAAGAACTAAGTTTGGTTTAATTATGCATCAAGTTATTAAATTTGTATACCAATAAAATGGGAGTTGACCAAATTGTGTATTTTGCAGATAATATTTCTTGTGTGTTTAGCTTCAAATTGTTCTTGTTTCAAGTAATCAAAGAAAACATGGATGATGGGGAGGTGGTTACTTCAGACCATGCTTTGCTTCCAAATCCCAATTCCTCTAGCAATTTTCATGGTTCAACTTATGAAGATACATTTTTCGATGAATTTTTGAAGACCGCGCGGACGTGCACTCACACTCACACTTGCAACCCACCTGGCCCTGAAGCTGCACATACGCACACTTGCTACCACACACACACCCAAGTTCTTCCTTCGGAAGATGACGATGGTACAAAGAATAAAGAGCATTCCAACCTGAGACCACGAAGAAGGAGGTCCTCGGGAAATAAAGAAGCAGTTCGGAAGTACAGGGAGAAAAAGAAGGCACATACAGCTTATTTGGAAGACGAAGTCAAGAAATTGCAGGTGTTGAACCAGCAACTTGTTAGGAAATTACAGGGGCAGGCAATTCTCGAAGCAGAGCGTTTAAGGCTGAGAGGCCTTTTGCTGGAACTTAGAGGAAAGATTGACACTGAGTTGGGTGCTTTCCCCTTCCAAAAACAATGTAACAGTAATACTTATTTCGAGGACAGCCAGTGTAATCTGCAGTCTAGTGTTGGGGCAATGGGACTTCGTTGTCAAACCGATTTACCATGCTTCTGTCCGCCTGTTGGGTCATCCGTTCAGGCTAGTATCGGTGCAAGGGGGGAAACAATGGTGCCATCAGGAGGAAATTGTCAGCCTGCAGTAATTGATTGCCGAGCAAACACAAATGACGCGTCAACACAAGCTAAGTAACTTACGGAAGCAACTATAGCATTAGCATGTTAGTTTCTTGTATATACCAGGGTAATTGTCCGTATACTAGTCCTAGATATTATTATGAGTCTATAAGGGCATGTTTACTTGTTAAGAAAGAGAATAAAAGGTATGGGTATCATTCCCATTCCTAACATATGTATCCTTCGTTATCTAAAACACTAGGAATGAAAAGAAAAATGGGCCTCGTGTTGTAAATATGTGTTTGATTCCCGACAGATTACCCTTCTTGGTCTGCAACAATTCATTTCTGAGAAACAAAATGCGATTTTCGGAGGTAGATGCATACCTTTGCTCAAGAGCCTCCCAGGTAGCTCGAGCAGTTCTTTTACTTGCCACCACAGACAAGACAGATGCAGTCAGAGATCCATTTATCCAGCTGAGGATCACTTGATCCTGTTGAACCCAAGTAGTGTAAGCAGGGTTCACAGTGGTGGGGTTGGCAACATGTTTTGGGGGACACAACATAGTACCATCGACATACCCCATCAGGTCCCTACTATTCAAAATAGGAAGCATTTGAGCCAACCACAGTGGGTAGTTGGTTCTATCAAGTTTGATATTCACGACAGTGGAGAAGCGATGGAAGGTGTTTTGAGGGTTGGAGTGGACAACAGAAACATTGTTTTCAGCCATGGAAACGTAGATGGGAAAGGAAAAAAAAGGAATCTTTGTCGTTAGACAGAAAAGGCTCTAGAAACCATATAAAACTATGAAACTTAGGTTTTCCACAACGATTGCATACCCACTCAACTATGGGATGCTTGTATTTATAAGAGATTCATGATTACATCAGAGGGTTTGAAAACCCTATTTACAAGGAAGTTTGAAAATCAAATAATACAAAATCAGAAAAGCAACCGATTATGCTTATTCGAAATTACATCCTATAAACAAGGAACCCTATTTAGATAACACTTTCAAACTAAACTGAACTCCTCAAATCACGGTATATGAAACTGCATGTTGACTTCGTCTAACAGTTCTAGCATATTTAGGTTGAAGTTTAATACAGTGTACAAGACATGTAGTTTCATGTTCATATATATATATATATATATCACGTATATAAGACTTGCTTGCTCTCTTGTTTCTTGATGCATGGTTATAAAACTTTTGTGGATGGAGGAGTTTAATCAGAAATGAAAAGTCCCTTCGTTCAGTAACTTAATCTATATGATGTTAGACAACAAGATGAAGATGCTAAGTTTTCTCTTCCTATCTTTCTTCTCTCTCAGTCAACTTTTTGTTAACGTAGAAAGATCAAGAACTATAGCTAGGGTTTCAAGAACTAGAGAGAGATGAAGACGAGAGAAGGTTGAAGAGAGAGAAAGAGATTTCACATATACTGTTTTTCTTATTATCCAAGCTATTACATTGGTGTATATATATACTGAAAATAACAACTCTAACTAACTAACTAAAGGATACAATCTTATAACACTTGGCATGATCCTAACCATTCTTTATATTCTTACATTCCCCCACAAACTCATGGTGAGGAAGACCAAGCATGAGGTTGAAGCAATGAGATCGAAATAGAGGAGTACTGAGACCCTTGGTGAGGATGTCAGCAAACTGTTCGCGAGAGGACACAAACTGAACAAGAAGCTGTTTCTGAGCAACCCGTTCTCGCACAAAGTGCACGTCAATCTCGATATGCTTTGTCCGTTGATGTTGAATAGGGTTGAACGATAGGGCAATAACAGAAAGATTATCACAGAAGAGGACAGGAGCAGTAGTAGGGCTAATGTGCAAGAACTTCAGCAATTGCTGAATCCAGTCAAGTTCAGCAGATGTGGTCGACATAGCTCGATACTCAGCCTCGGTAGAGGAGCGAGAGACCGTAGTTTGTTTCTTAGAAGACCACAAGATGGGATTGCTGCCCAGAAACACAACCATGCCAGTAGTGGAACGTCGATCATTTGGGTCTCCAGCCCAATCTGCATCACTGAATGCCTTCAAGGATAACTCACCCCGAGTATAAGAAATACCAACAGATAACGTACCTTTGAGATACCTCAAGATACGTTTAACAGCTGTGAAGTGAGACACCATGGGAGACTGCATAAATTGACAGACCTGATGAACGGAGAAGGCAATATCGGGGTGTGTAAATGTAAGATATTGCAAAGCACCAATGATGCTCCGATATGCAGTAGGATGGTTATAAAGGGTACCATCATCCTTAAGAAGTCTGGTGGAGGGCAAGCAAGGTGTATCACAAGCCTTACAGTCAACCATCTCAACTTTCTCCAAGAGATCCTGTATATACTTTGCCTGGGACAAAAATAAACCTTGAGAAGTTTTGGTGATCTGAATCCCTAAAAAATAATGAAGCTCACCCAAGTCTTTGGTATCAAACTCAGTGGTCAAGGATTGAATGACCTGGTGAATACAGATAGAGGAACTCCCAAAGATAATAATATCATCGACATAGAGTAAAAGAATGACAACATCACGTCCAACAGTCTTGACAAATAGGGAAAAGTCAGAATATGTAGACTGGAATCCGAGAGAGGGACGAAACCTTGTGAAACGTTCATTCCAGGCGCGAGGAGCCTGTTTCAAACCATACAGGGACTTATGCAATTTACACACAAAATCAGGCCGAGAAGCATCCTCAAAACCTGGGGGTTGAGCCATGTAAACTTCTTCATTCAATACCCCATGCAGAAATGCATTCTTGACATCCAACTGTCGAAGAGACCAATTAAAATGAGCTGCCAAGGCGAGTACTAAGCGCACAGTGGTAGGCTTAACCACTGGACTAAAGGTCTCCCCATAATCCAAACCAGGCTCTTGACTAAACCCCTTAGCAACCAGGCGAGCCTTATGTCGAGCAATGGAGCCATCATAATTCTTTTTAAGTTTGAACACCCATTTACACCCAACTAGATTCTTATTGGGGGGTAGAGGAACTAAGCTCCAAGTCTGTTGAGACGCCAATGCAGCAAGCTCTTCTCTCATAACACTTAACCAAACTGAAACTTTTAAAGCAGATTTATGAGTGGCAGGTTCCACTTGAGTGAGATCAAGGAGACTAGAATCAGGAACCGTGCTGAGAAACACCTTCTTCTTAATTATACCATTTTTACTCCGAGTTTGCATATGATGCAAGTTAAGTGGGGCAATAGGCAAGACCACTTGAAGAAGCTCAGTTCTAAAATCAGGATCCACAGGGAGGGTAGGAGATGAGCTTGTAGGGACAGTAATAGACTGAGGTGAATCATGATCAGAGGATGGCAGTGATATAGGACAAGGAAGAGATGGTATAGATCCAGGAGACTGTGGGAGAGATGGTGAGGAAGTAAGAACACCAGTTGATGTCGAGGAAGATTGAGGTTGGGATGGTGGGGTTGGAACCTGATGCTGAACGAGTACATTATCCAAAGTAGGAACAGGAGATGGAGGGGAGGGTGGAGACACATGGGACTGGACACACTTGGGTGTAGAAGACATGGTCAAAAAAGGATAAGGAAATCGAGACTCATCAAAAACAACATGTCTTGATATGTATACTCTACCCTTTAAGACATCAAAGCAAATGAAACCTTTGTACTTGGAGGCATAACCAAGAAATACACACTCAGTGGTTTTAGGTTGTAACTTAGTGTGATTATAAGGTCGCAACAACGGAAAACAAGAACACCCAAACACTTTAAGATGTGTTAAGAGGGGAGGGACTCCAAATAATTTTTCAAAAGGTGAACAGTTTTGCAAAGTTGGGGTAGGCATACGATTGATAAGATATACAGCTGCTTGACAGGCAAAGGACCAGAAAGTAGAGGGTAATTTTGCAGACTGTAATAAGGTGATAGTGGTTTCGACAATGTGTCTATGTTTCCTCTCAGCCAATCCATTTTGTTCTGGGGTATGGGGACAAGATATATAATGTAAAATGCCTGTACTATGAAGAAAACGTTTAAGTTTACCACTACTGTACTCTCCACCTCCATCAGATTGTAAAGTTTTGATACACACAAAAAATTGAGTTTGCACAAATGAATGAAAGGCAACAAAGCTTTCAAAGAAATCAGATTCATTGACAAGAGGAAACAACCAACAATATCGAGTGCACTCATCAAGGAGAGTCACATAATATCGATATCCATCCCTGGAAGTACATGGAGAAGAACCCCAAAGGTCACTATGCACAACCTCAAAAGGAATTACAGATTTATGATGACTAGACTGAAACGGGAGTTTCATGAATTTTCCCTATAAACAGCCATGACATAGCAAAAGGATATCATCCTTATTACACGAAATGGAGGACTTATGTAACATAAGATCGACAATGGTATTAGAAGGATGTCCTAACCTACTATGCCAGAGATTAGAACCAACACGCTGGCCAAGAAATGCAGAAGCTTGAGAAGTGCTGTGAGGACGAAGGGAGGGAGAAGTGGCTAGGGAAGAAAGAGGATAAAGTCCATTACTGCATTGCCCTTTGTATAATATCCTCCCTGTGGCTTTGGCCTGTATCCAGAAAGAATAAGCATCAAAGATTAACCAACAATTGTTATCGAGACAGATCCTGTGAACTGATAACAAGTTGTTGGAAAGTCTAGGAACATAGAGAACTGAATTAAGTTTAAGAGATGCACAGGTGTTCGAATAACAGAACAACCAATATGAGTGATTTGCAAACCTTCACCATTAGCTGTTTGCACTGTTTCATTGGTAGGATAAGGAGATGCCAAAGTCAGGTTACTAAGATCAGCCGTCATATGATTGGTAGCGCCCGAGTCAGTGATCCAGACTTGTGGTTGGGAACCTGGAGATGCTTGAGAACTAGATGTGTGCAGCGCTTGCATATGAGATGGAGTAGGAAATGCTGGTGCAGAAGAAACATATGCACGAGCATGCGATTGAGAATGATGAGGACCACCATAGTTAGGCCCTTTGTCATTGAAAAAACAATACCAAGTGGTATGGTTAGCTTTACCACAAATATGACAGCCCTGTCGATCCAGTTGTTTTGAAGTACACAATGGAGCAGTGTGACCAAAGGTATTGCACAACTGACAAGGAACCTGAGAAGAGACAAGCTGACCAAAAAATGGGGGTGGATAAGGACCAAGCACTCTAGAGGAACCATGATTCGAATTAGAAAAATTATTGAAAAACTGTGGTCGCGGATTAGGATTAGGATACCGATAGCTGTGATTAAACTTCCCTTTACCCTTCCTGTTGT